TGACGAGTTTAAAGATTTTGAGTAACCAAAGTTAGCTTCAATAATAGTCCCAACTGAATTTTTGCTAAACTCAATTGACCTGCCGGGAATGCAATTCGTCGCTCTGTGATTGGTCCAATTTCCGTCGCATGATCGCTCGCCCTCTACCGGTCGTTTTCTATTCGATATATTACAAATGCGTCTATTCTTAGTAACCGATGGAGACTCGAGTTTATTTCTAAATCCGAGAGCGGATCTAATTCTATTAATTTTCGCCACCGTAAACATACTATCGTAGGTGCTAATCGGTTGAGGATTTAAGCACGGGTGCCTTGAAAGATAATCAGCGAGTCCTATTTTTGCTCCGGGTTTATGTTCTACTTGAAAATCGAACGGTATAAGACGATCTAACCATCTTGTTAATCTGCTGAACATTGTTTTGTTCTTTTTGTTGTTCCCATTTAGCAATGACACTAGTGCCTTATGGTCCGTAACTATTAAAAATTTTCTTCCCAGCACATAATTTCGGAAGTATTCCGCGCCCCACACAACTGCTAACATCTCCAATTCATTTGTTGAGTCATTTTTTTCTGCTGCGTTTAAATACCGGGATGCGAATGATATTGGCCGCCAACCGTCGGAATTTAGTTGCTCAAGGACCGCTCCGAGCCCATTATGACTAGCGTCACACACAATTCTTGTGTCTCTGTGTATATCAAAGTGCCGAAGTTCCACTATATTAGCCACTTGTTTTTTCAGGTTCTCGAATGATATTTGACATTCATCGCTCCAGACATAATCGTTTTTCCGGCTTAATAATGGGCGTAATGACGCTGATGATTCCGCGAGCGCCAGAAGATATTTGTGCAAACTGTGAATGGAGCCCATGAACGATTTAAGTTGTGACACCGTTTTTGGTGCTTTCAGCGATTCGATCGGATCTGTTTTCCGGACGAGTGGTGTTATTCCTGTACGGGTTATTTTGTGTCCCAACCATTCACTTTCTTTCCGCGCAAATTGGCATTTAATGAGCTTAAGTGCCATGTTTTCGCGATCCAGCTTCCGCAAAATTTTTTCAACTGTCGAGATATGCTCGATCTCCGTGCCTTTGGTGACCACCAAGATGTCATCAATAAAAGCATGTGCCTGCGGAAATTCCGCAAGAATCGTGTCCATTACTCGTTGAAATTCAGCTGGCATGGTAGTAAGACCGTAGAACCCCGTACGAAAGCGGTACGTGCCCGTTGATTTTCCTCCCACCAGCGAAAAATTGCATTGAACGCTCGTTTCCGGGCTAAGTGGTAATTGGCCGTACGCGTACGTAAGATCCATAGTAGAAAAATATACGTCCCCTGATTTCCGTTCGCTAATCGTTTGTCCTACCGTATCCATAAGCTCCTCTATATTCGGCATTTGGTATTTATTTTTGTGGACTTGCTTGTTCAACTCCCTTGATTCTAGCGCTAATTTTACTGATCCGTCCTTTTTCACTGTTATTACAATCGGGGAAACAAAATATTTATCCGAACATTCCTTTAGCTTTTCAATGTGTCCTTGGCGTAAAAGTTTATCAATTTCTTTATCAACCTTTTCTTGCAACGTGATGGGCACTCTACGTCCTTTTTGTTGAATTGGCGTTAACGTTTCGAAAAAATCCGCGTGTACCTTATAATTCTTAATTTTTCCGACTCTGTTAAAAAGATTTTCAAACTGCTTACTGAAGTAGATCTGCCAGTTGTCTAGTGAGTCCTCCACATCCGTCTCCTCAACTGTGCCTTGATCGCTCTGTACCGACATCACATTTTCCTCCGGTGCCTTCTGCACGATCTGTAATCCAAGATTTGGCATTAGGTCTCGTCCAATAATTGATGGTCTGCTTCCTCCAATCACTCTGATATTTGCGTTGGCCACCCATCCGTTTGTTTATAATAGTACGTCCATCGTTCCTAGTAGTCGTAATGGGTTGTTTCTGTAATCCCTGAACTCCTCATCCTCCGGTGCCGCTGCCTTCACCTTGACGCCTGCGGTGCCCAATGTCCGTTTCAATTCCCCAATGGTGAATATCGAAATCGGTGATCGACTGTCTATCCACACGTTTGTTTGCTTTCCGTTTACCTTAATTGGTAGTCGGGAGCCGGCCACTTTTAGATCTGTTTCTTTCCGAGATTTGATGGCCATAACAACGTAATCCCCTGAGCTATCCGAATCCCACGATCGTTGTTTCTTGACCGGTTGTTTCTTGACCGGCGTATTAACCCAGCCGACGGAATTCTCGTGCTGGGAATATGTATCCTCCGCGTCGTCTGTCTCAGTAGTTTCCATATCTTCCTGATTTTGAATCAGTCCCACTGCCGGTCTTCCCCGATTATTTCGCTTTCCCCTACAAGTCCTCTCGTAATGTCCCATCTTCCTGCAGAAGTTACACGTAGCATTTTTCGCTGGACACGTTGTGATGTGCTCCGGAGTAAAATTGGGTTGGTCACAATTATAGCATCTTCTGGAACCACCCCCTCTCATGTCTGCTCTCCCCCTAAACGATCCACGGCCCCGCTGTCTGTTATTTCTGTAACCACCTCGGATGGCCCCCACTGGTTCCGTCTTGATTTGGAACGCGCCAGCTCCGCCAGCATTCCCAATAGTTCCTCCCCCGGTTATCGATCCGTATGACTTAGCATATTTGAATCCACGTTCATATGATAGTGCAATACGATACACCTCCTCTGGTGTCTTCGTCGAGCGGCATAGCTCATTTTGGGCCTCCCTATTGTTCATATTTACGATGAACACATCCCGCAAAATCCTGGTCTCCAATGCTCCAAAATTACATCGAGCGGCTAACCCACTCAACACTGAGTGGAATTGTTCCAGCGATTCTCCTATTTGTTGCTTTCGTGCCAATAGTTGGAATGTTTCGTAAGTTTCGTTTCGTTCCTTCCGAAATTCAGTTTCGATAGTATCCAAAACTCGAGAATACCTTGTTGCAGCTAGATCCAGGTGTGGTTTTCTTTTATGTAGCTCATCCTGTCCTTTCTCCCCCAGGCACAAATACAAATTCGAGATAAGCGTTTGCTCCGACACCAGGCGATTTTTCCCATCTACCTCCTCTGGTAAATCTGCAAGTTGCGCTGCTGTTAACGTACTGGCATAATAGAAGTTCCGTGGATTTATGCTATGTTTGGCCACCATCCCCCATATAAAACGATTGAACCAAAACTCCCATAGCATTGGTGGTTCTGCGAGCGTCGAGGGCCAAAACGATGTAATTCCCAGTGGGTTCTTCCCCCCACTTTGGCCTGTTGGCTGCGCCATGTGAAAAGACGGTTTCGATGTATGAATTAAATGTCTTGTTAATAAGCAAACCGTAGTTCAGAAAGTAAGTCGGAGACAATAAGATAGCTGTCATCCGAAGGTGACAGACAAACTCCGAAGGTTAAATACCGGTTAGCGCCAGACAGATAATTGAAATAGATAACCCGACTAGAATTGAAACATGAACTAAATTTAGATACTATGACAGTTTTTTTTATAAGAACTTCATGAAACTTTGAAAACACTTCCTTTCAATTCACGCTGCCTAGAGTTTTTTTAGAGAAAATTCAGGTGGTCCGGTTTTGCGGATTCATTCACTAAAATGTGAAATTTTCATTCAAAAAAGTTTCCATGTTCTTGCTCTAATATCTGATGATGAACTAGTCATTTTACTGTTTAGTTAAAAAAAACTTTGTAGTTGTCTTAAATTGAATTCTTCAGATCTTTGGTATTGTCTGGTTTGCTTCAGCATATATGCCAATAGATGGGATTGTTTTTGCTTTTTATCTAGTTGGTTTCAAAGTCTTACAAAAATATTGTTGACTGCCAGAGTGCTCTTTCGTTGGATCTGCTCAAAAATTATACATTCGGTTCACCGCAGACTAATTAGTATCTACCCGGTCTTATTTTTAAGGAATCGATCTACTTTGCCAATTTATCAAAATTTAGAGTATTCGCTAATCTAGAGGGGATTTTCACATTTGATTTCAAGTACTTAGATTGTGCATTCAATGCAATTGTCAAAATTTGAATGTCATTATTTACAACTGGTTTTTTGATTTTGTACAACATTGTTATTTTTCTGCTCTCGAGTATGCTCGCCAGGGCATCCTCCTCTTTTTGTCATACATCAATCTTCCAAACATTATACCCATGTTTTTAATAAGGATTTAAATGAGTTTGGTTTCATCGATGTCTCGATTAAAAATAATGCATTGGTTTCAATTGTAGTAGTTCTAAAAAGACAAAATACCCACTGACGTTTTAAAACGATAATCTAAATTTTTGCTACCAAATTGATTCCACTCCTGAAACACCTCATTTGTCTGATCTGATATTCAACAACCTAATTGAACTCACTTCTTGTCCTCTTTTCAGTTCTAATCTGTAATTTTGGCGATGATATATTTTTTATTTCAGTCTGAACTGAATACACCTCCCGAAAAATCAATTATTTATAAATATCAGATTAAGCTTTATCATTTATATGTTTTAAGCCATCTATAATAGTACTAACAAATTTGTTTTCCAGAAGAGAACGTATGTTTTACAAGTTTATTCAAGAAAAAAATCCCAACTAAGTTTTGCGATAAATGAGGTTTGAGAAAAATAATTTTTGGATCACTACTTTTGACTGAAATTGAACTTTTGAAACTCATTTTCAAATCGGAATTTGAATGACCAAGCTTCAACGTGACACAAACGATACACTCCTTGAATGATTCGGAATCGCCTGCAAAAGGTCGCCGTTATCGATGATCGAATCAAAAACAATAGCCTCAAAAATTGACTTTGAAACTTTTAAATGATAATTTAATTGAACTGTTTTTTTTTTAAATAAAACCAAACGATAAAATGTACCTAGCCTGTGGCTGTGATCTACTGTATCCTAAGATGCTCTATTGTGATTGGCCGAAAATTCCACGCAAGAACTGAATTAAGGCTATAAACAGAATGATGTTAAGTTGACCATTTTTTCTATTTTTTCTTACCTTTGTTTGATGTTGAGCGCTCGTTTGCGGGCGAATGTCTCGTCGTATAGGAGCACTACATTAGGCCACTGCTCAGCCCGGATAACCTCTGCCAGAATGGTGTCCACAGTGTCAGTGGTGTTGATGCGGAAAGGGAAGCTGGAAACAAACAACGGTCATTAAAATTTATTTTTCCAGCTACCAAATCAAAAGACTTCCCCTATCTGTCCAAATATCCCAACTCATGTATTCGACTCCCTTCGCATCCAAAGGAGTCCCGACTTCCTTTTTCGGCGGAAAGACCCTAGAACTTTTCTTAAGGGGCCCACTGCGTCAACTTATACTAATTTCAAGGAAGAAGTGCGCAACAAGTGAGCGCAAAAAGTTCTGTATCAAGGCAAAGTCCTGAGTTTTCCAATTTTAAAGCCCCCAAAAATTTATATTTTGATGACATGGTTTTATAAAATTATAGGAAAAGAATGAATTCTGTTAAGTACAAAGTAAAACTTTTAGCATACAATTGCACAATAAAAAAGACCAAAAAACTTGCCTAAATTCAGCTTGGTATGTTTACTAAGCAGGATTAAATCCCCGCTTATGCGTAAAGAGCATAAATTATATTGCGCGTTAACCGTCCCAATTCTGATGAATAAAATGATCAAAAATGGCTTTTCAAGCACTCAAAACTGTCTGAAGAAAGAAGCAGTGCCGGGCTTAAATATTCCGTCTTTTTCTTGGGAAATTGGAAGAGGAAACTAAATTTCGTGAACATTGAATTTTATTTATTTTTCTATAAAAACTGCTCAAAAACTTTCTGGAGATTAAAAAAACTTTTCGAGTAATGACTCAAACAAGCATTCTTTGCAGCTTAGTGTAGTAACAATCGGCTTTTCTACAGTTTCCCCTTCACTAGAACATAATACACAATTTTCGACTCACATACAAAATTTCAACTCAAAAACGAACTTTCACGTGAGGCGACAACTCGTCGAAACCTACCATTAGTCGCAAACAACTATTCGGACTATTTTGAAAAGGCGTCGGATCGCATGAGTCTATAAATTGTACCAGGTGACTATTAGTAGTTTTTAATTGGTATGTGACCTAAGCACAATTACCCATTGATGGATTATGTTGATTATTTTGAGTCAACTTGGGTCGGTGCAATCAACCGTGGCCCAAAGGCGGCTGTTCAGATTTCTCACTATTTGTGAACCAAATTAAAACTCTACATGTTAAAACTCTAAAACACAGTATGGTGTAAAACTCTACATTGGTCTGAATGAAAAACCAACCCTAGCAAAAAAATTTCTGCCTCTTTCTTCGAATCAATAATGCACAAAATTTGACCCGACAAAAGTCCCACCAATTTTTCAAACTTCTGAAAATCGGCACTATGGGAAAACTTGAATCTTTATGCCAGCGCTGATAATGACAGTTCAGCACTAAAACTCATGCTACAAAAAGTAACCATTCATAGAGGGCAGTGGCATTTTTGCACATTTACTGGGGCGACTTTGTACAATAGAGATCATCCCAAGTGTCCACTTACCTGAATTGAGAAATTGGATTCGGTTGAGTGTCGTACTTTGGACACCTGTCTGAGTCCAGTGCAATATGGATGATATTCTTCTCGTCAGCCAACGAGGCAAGAGCGGAGTAAGTCGTGCATGTAGTCATTGATACGAGAAACCCAACATGGGACACTTTCATCTCGTGACAAACTTGTCGGATGATGCCATATGTGTCGTATAGGTTAGATCGGCTAAACTCAAGTCACCATACACGACCCGAAGATTTAAGTCTTGCTAATTTCCCGCAAAAAATTGAAAAGTAAACTATTCATACGTTGATATAAAACATGCACAATCAATTGACACTTGTATTGGGGAGACGATTTTTACAGACAATAAATTGCTTTACTCTTTTATTTCACATATTATTACCTACAAAGGCGGATCTAGGAGTTTCTCAAGGGCGGGCGGATGTTCAAAAAGTTTAAATTTTCGACAATTTTTTTGCTTTGTTTTGTAGCTCGACCAAATTGATTTTCAGAGCTCGCCCAAAGCATTGAAAAGACCCTGTTTCTCCAAAATTTTTGAATAAATAAGCCAAAAAACGCGTTTTTAGTCACTTTTTGAAAAGTTTTGACCAAAAAATTGCGTTCTTTCGACGCGCGCTCCCACCTCAAATTTAGTATGTATTGGCACCACAGACGCCTTAAGAACTTTTTGAGGGTCTGACAGCTAATAAGAGAGTCCTTGAATAGTACCAAAGGGGACTTTTTGGGTAGTCAGGGGGTCGAAGTCCTGAAAAAGAAAAGCGTCCGCACCCGTACCCCCCTTAAATCCTCCCCTCATTACCCATAAAAATTTGACGAGTCAATACAGTGTTCAATTGATTTTTAAATCTTCATCAGCTAATGGAAAAGTGCTACACTTTTTTCGAGGCTTTTGGTTCAATTAATCACAGGATTGGTTCAGTTATATTGGCTTGAGTTTACATGATTTTCTTGTCCAATCGCAGTCCTTTGAAATCTTTGGCAACGCGTGTGAACGAGTCGTGAAGAAGATCTTCATTGATGACATGACCTTCGAGGACCACGCCCATGGTAACCACTCGAGTATCTATTTTGTTCACTTCAGCAAAGGAAAGCTTAAAGCAGAAAGTATCAATTACGCGAATATTTGATATATTTTGCAAAATTCAGTTGATGCAAAAACGCAAAAAAAAAACGGTGAGTACTGATGTGTTTCATAGTCGAATTTAAACCAAATCGTCGGCAAATCCCAATCATTTTTTAAAACTCATTTTCCAATTATTCATTTTCTACGCGTCAATATTTGTTCGTCTGTTCTTCTTTATCAGTGAAAAATTTGAAAAAATGATCTGCCAGTGCAAAATCTGTCAGTGCAAAACAGGTGTCAATTTTCAAAAATTCTGCTCTGGCTTTGCTAAAGTATTGTTACGTAATATGATTTAGTGCCGATCAGCCATGATGCTCGATCTAAACGGTCATAATTTAGTCAATTTATTGAATACGATTCATACGCTACTTTTACACGCTCATAGAAAACCTTTTGTTCGTACTTAATGAGTTCAGTAATACGGGCACCTCGTTTCTACTCATTATCAGAGATACCACATTACGAGAACGGAACAGACCTGGGTATTCCGGTGTACTGGGCGTCGGCATCGAATGACCTACCTCGGTTGATCAAAACCTGGCGAAACAATTTCATGATGGCGGCAACAAAAAAATGTGGATTCCGGTAGATGTGAGTCACCGGCAGAACCAGCAAGAAAAAAAAGAGAAAGATCGGCAAGGTGAAAGACCGATGCAGAAAATGTGAAATTAACGCAGAGATGTCGCAAAGGAGACATCACATCTACGCGGAAAAGCAACAAAAACTAGTCTCATGTTTATTTCTAGCTTTGAGGTCCAAAGATTGAAAAAACCACTTCTGCAGATAAACCCGCATGTAAAAACATCAAAGCAGACTCACAAAGACTAATGATCTGATCACAATTACGTTTGACAAGGTAAAAGTTGTAGCCTTTGAAACGTATAAAGTGATCGCACGTGCACACGAAGTAAACAAATCACTAGAAATATTTCATGCAGCACTAAGTACCAGGCAGCCAGATCGGAATTGGAAACGTTAGAGTATGAATTAGTTCGATATTTGTTTATACCAAGAATGAAGAACGATACAATACAAGATACTCTTTGATTCGAGACATTGGCGTTAGAAAAAGATTTGAAACGTACACAAAAATTTGAACATAGCAAACAAGCAACACAAGTGTATCAGAAAAACAACAGCCAAACGGCAGCAGTTTCGAGTGGACAGATCGGAATAAAATATCAACTATTATTGAAACTTCGCAATCAAGGAAATAGGAAGTCTAATTCCTCCTACAAAAACTATCGAAAAAACAGGAAGGGCATTAATGATGACCGGGACAAAGATAAACGAAAAACATGCCTTAGATACGGTACAACACTCAGTGAAAATCATTTGAATAAATGCTTCGCATTGAAAAAAGAGTGCAAGACCTGCAGTAAACTCAACCATTTTTCCAAAACTTGTTAATCGCAACAGGTTTATGAGATAACGCGGGACTCATCCGAAGACTCAAGGAAGAAATGCGTTTTAGTTTCCTAGCAGTAGAGGGTTTCTGCCAAAAGTAACTTTTTGCTTTTCCATCCCAGAATTTTAAACAATTTGAACAAATATTGAGAAAAACAAGATGCAAAAGGTATCAGATATATAGTTTTTTATCAGAGTAAAATAATCGAAGCTCTAAGCCTTTTGTCTTTTAACTAATAGACTGAATAGTTCTGCTATAATCCTAAAGTGAGACTAAAGAGAGCTCACGAGTTCCATTCTAATGAAGGAAAAAATTAATAATTACAAAGGAAAAATCTGAAAAACTGAACAATTATGTTCTGTAGACTGATCACAACTCACGTTCTTTGATGAATTTTGCCCTTATACAGTACTATAGTGGGGAAACTAAGGCACAGTATCATCCGTGATTCCGTAACGCTTAAGTTGATGGTCAGACTTAATGGGTTACAATCAAAGTGATTTGAAGTTTCCCTCTCGATTTGGTATTATCGGTTTCTTTTTCTCCCAATCATTTGTCCAGCAGAGCCTGAGAAGATTTTCACAAAAACTATTCATTCCGTATAGACAAAAATTTAGTTTATAAGACCCCTGATGAGCTAGTTAACTTTTACACTGCTTCTACAATTAAGCCTGTGTTTTGTTCACTTCAATCGCTACATCGTTACAATGGCTCATTAATCCTCGCCTGACTCAATTCCAAAACAACAACTCCAAGAGCGCAGCTTGCTCACCAACTCACCAACTAACTCCAACCGGTACTGAACTCGGATTCAACTACTAATCAACTAACTAATCAGCTCTCTCAGGAACCACTGCAATTGCAACTACCAGGAGTCTAGCCTCGGCTTAGCTCAATTCGTTTATCTCTATGAATAACTAACGTAGCCACTGAGTAACTTAGCTGGTCATTCTCTTTTCAGCATTCATTCTGATGTCTCTCTTACTGATGAGAACCAACTACACTCTAGGTTAGTATCTATTGGTCTCCTTCACTGATAAGAACCAACTATCCATCAGTTTGTAATAATCTTTCCGCCTAATGGTAGGCTGTTTATGATCCTTTTGTATATTTTTCTTAAATTTTAATTGAAGTTAGGGTTTTTTCTCCCTTTCAAGTCCTGACTGTTTTATTTTGGCGTCCCTCCTGCAAAAACTCATATAGATTTTTCTGCTGACAACACTTGTCCTAAAATCCTTGTTAAATAAAAGCATCTCTAACTTACTTTTTCAAATTTGAGGTCCAATTTTATCGCTGTTTCAATTAACCAACTTCCCAAGAACTTTATTTTAATAACCCGTTTGCGTTCTTGTCTCCAGGGGCTAGAGGAGTGTCCTGACTTATTTCAGCTACTTCTTTCTCAGCATCTAAATATTCCATTCAAACTCTATTTCAAACGCAACTTTCTAGCTATTATTGTAGTGTGTTTATAAATTTTGGTCAACTTGTACGAAAAAAGTAACCTCCGCAGAAGTATAGTTAAGGACGGACCAATGATTCACATATAACTATGAGAACAGACTTGTTGAAAAATGATGTTTGTTGAAAAAAGGTGTAGGTGATGTTGTCACAGAGGAGATCACCGAAATCGAATCCCTCCGATAAGAGCCGGTGACATCAGAATAAGACATAGGTGACATCGGTCCAGTACTAATGATTGATCCACAAGACTCGAGGAAATGCTGAATCCTCGAGTCTAGTCTTCACACTTTGACCGAGATGTTGCGGGTTCATATCCACGACTGTTGTCACGAGAAGGGCCAGATGGAGCTATATCACAAGGCATGCATAAGGTCGGGACGGGTGGGAAGCGTTTTATTTGTTGTTCAAGGTTCAACCTCAGTCGGGGGAAGGAAATTCTGTTATCTTAATGGGCTTACGTCTGCAATGTGGATAGGTAATCTAGAATTATCAAATCTACGAGTTCTTAACAAATTCTAGTGAGTAGAAACCAGATGCATTATCTGATCTCAATTTTTTGAATTAAAAATAACGCATCTAATGTGTCTCTAAAACCAGCGATGTCACTATGGTAGTTTCTGTTTCCAGTTAGTCAACTGAGTCGGCATCAAAAAAGAATCCCTTATACTTTTTAAGTATATGTTAATGGGAACTGTTGCAATTTGCTCCAGCTTACCAGATAAAACTTTAACTGTTTTATTTTCAGAACAATGAAAGTATTTTCTGGCTCCTTTTTCATACTCAGCTTAGTTAGTTCGCGATGATAAAAGAAACAAGACTGTTTTTATTAGGGCAAAAGTTCCGAGTGCTTTTTAAGCTGTATGGAGCAGTTTTTGGCTAAGAAAACAGTGAAAAAAAAATTTGAGATCTTTTAAAAGTCATTCGTCTACAAGCCATATCAAGTACAAAGTGATAGATTTCACTACCAGTCTGGTACTGCAGTTATGATTTAATCAATTTAAATGGTTCATAAGACGGATGAAATATTCGCCTACGCGTTAATAGCGCAAAATATATCGCGCGTTAGTTGTCCCAAATTGGCAAAATTTGCAATCTGTAAACCCTCATAGCGTTACAAAAAATGATAATAGGTGAAATATCTTTGTAAATTTGAGCTCAAGGCAACAAACCTTTTCGGCTGATATAAACAATTCAGTCAAAAAATTATAGTTAGAAAGGTCGAAATTTGTAGAAATTTAAAGAAAAAAACCAACCCGATCATACATAATCAATCCGTCCTTTTTGCATGATCAATTTAAAGCCTTTTTGCGAGATCAATTTTTTTCTTTCATGTGCACGTTTGAAAAAAGTTTTCATTTATTCTTATTAGGCTGGTAAAACGACAAGCGGATTTTGCTTTTTGCCTCATATTTCAAACAAAAAACAAAAAACGCGTGAGTCCAAAGACACGATAATGAATTAAGAAGTTGATTGATTTGGGCTCTTTGCGGCTTAAAATAGATTCGGCCTCAATCTGTGGCTTACATCCTCAAAAAAAGTGTTATGATTCTTTCAGAGTTTTTTAAAAAAGTCAACAGCAAACACGCAAAGCAATGCTAAAACACGTTGTGTTTTATATCGTTGAAAAAGCTTTAAGTATTGAAGTATTCTTCGCAGTTTGTTGGGCATCCTTTTCTCTGCTCCAGGGTGATGTTGTATTCTGTTAGAATTTTAACCCTTCTATGGGGTGTCTCTACTACTGTTTCAGATTCAATGCTGGACTTTTGATTTTTAATCTAAACGTTTTACTAGAGCGTTACGCAAGCCATTTTTTGCCAGGCGGAATTATTGTTCCGACTTTCGATACGAAAGTAACGGAATATTTGTGCTCGGGGTGAGTTTTTTTTTTCTTCAGACAAATTTCGACTTTTTAACTGGCCTTTTTTGACGGAATTTTTTTATATCATTCAAAAGGTATTGTTGTCCTGAGCTTAAATTTGGAAAGATATTTCACCTGTGATCACCTTTCGTAAAGTTATGAGGGTTTAAAGATTGCCATTTTGACGTTTTGACCAATTTGGGACAATTAACGCGCGATATAATTCGCGTTATTAACGCGT